ACAGGTATGAGCTACCCTCGCCCAGCCTAGTTAATCCCTTTTGATGCCATTTTTTCCCCCGCTGTTCATGAGCTCTATATGACATTTTAAATATAATTCCACACTGGGCGTGAGATATCTCATGCCTGTAATCCCAGCACTTTGGGAGGCTAAGGCACGAGAATCCCTTGAGTCCAGGAGTTCAAGACCAGTCTGGGCAACATAGAAAGACTCCCATCTCATTAGCCAGGTATGGTGGCACACACCTGTAATCCTAGCTACTCAGGTGGCTGAGGTGGGAGAATCGCTTGACCCTGGGAGGTGGAGGTTGCCTGGGCGACAGAGGAAGACTCTGTCTCAAAAAAAAGAAAAGACTCCCATCTCTACAAAAAATTTTAAAGATTAGCCAGGCATGGTGGCACCATATCTGTGGTCCCAATTACTCAGGAGGTTGAGGTGGAAGGTCACTTAAGCCCAGTTCAAGGCTGCAGTGAGCTATAAGCATGTCACTGCACTCCAGCCCGGGTGACAGAGCAAGACCTTGTCTCTTAAAAAAAAATAGGCCAGGTGTGGTAGCTCCCACCGTAATCCCAGCACTTTGGGAGGGCAAGGCAGGCAGATCACCTGAGGTTGACAGTTTGAGACCAGCCTGACCAACATGAAGAAACCCCGTCTCTACTAAAAATACAAAATTAGCCAGGTGTGGTGGCACATGCCTGTAATCCCAGCTACTTGGGAGGCTGAGGCAGGAGAATCACTTGAACCCAGGAGGCAGAGTCTGCAATGAGCTGAGATCGTGCCATTGCACTCCAGCCTGAGCAATAAGAATGAAACTCCCCTCCCCAGATCACAAAAAAAAGGAATGAAACTCTGTCTCAAAAAATAATAATTACTATTGTTATTTCTATTATTATATATATTATATATATATGGCTGGGCGTGGTGGCTCACACCTGTAATTCCAGCACTTTGGGAGGTTGAGGCAGGTGGATCACCTGAGGTCAGGAGTTCGAGACCAGCCTGGCCAAAATGTTGAAACCCCGTCTCTACCAAAATACAAAATTAGCCAGGCATGGTGACAGGCCCCCAGCTACTTGGGAGGCTGAGGCAGGAGAATCGCTTGAATCCAGGAGCAGAGGTTGCGGTGAGCCGAGATTGCACCACTGTACTCCAATCTGGGCAACAGAGTGATAGAGTGAGACTGTCTCCAAATATATATATATATATATATATATATATATATATATATATATACACGCACAAATTCCAGTATCAGGAGAGGGTAATGTTGGTTGCATCAATCCACTGATGACAATGGAAAAGCATAATGTGATTCACTGCCATGAAAAACATTCAAATCTCTTAGGGTCTAGGCTTCTTTACATGCACAAACACAGTCACAATAGGCTTTATTTAGCCATCTGTTCTGTTTTGGTTTTTTTGTGAGAGAGAGTCTCGCTCTGTCACCCAGGCTGGAGCGCAATGGCGCAATCGTCACTCACTGCAGCCTCGACCTCCTAGGCTCAAGCGATCCTCCCACCTCAGCCTCCCAAGTATAATAGCTTGGATACAGGCACATGCCACCACACCTGTCTAATTTTTGTATTTTTTGTAGAGACAGGGTCTGCCCATGTTGCCCAGGCTGGTCTCAAACTCCTGGGCTCAAGCGATCCATCCACCTCAGCCTCCCAAAGTGCTGTGTTTACAGGCATGAGCCACAGTGCCTGGCCAGCATGTTTTTCAGAATAAGTTCTTCCTGTCACAGACCATGAAACTTAAACTGGCCAGGTGCAGTGGCTCAAGCCTGTAATCCGGGCAGTTTGGGAGGCCGAAGTAGGTGGATCACCTGAAGTCAGGAGTGTGAGACCAGCCTGACCAATATGGTGAAACCGTGTCGCTACTAAAAATACAAAACTTAACCAGGTTTGGTGGCTTGCACCTGTAGTCCCAGTTACTCGGGAGGCTGAGGCAGGACAATGGCTTGCACCTGGGAGGTGGAGATTGTAGTGAGCCGAGATCGCACCGCTGCATTCCAACCTGGGAGTTAAAACTATAATGCATTTTAATGAAACACTCAGTATTCTACTAAACTAAGCAACCCAAACAGAAGATGGCTTTGGTTTTGCTTTAGCTACGCAGCGATCACTAGTGCTTAGTCATAGCAGTCTAATTCACTGTTACCAGTAAATGTATAACAAGCTCTCCTAAGTCCTGACATTTGAGACAGAAACAGGAGGAAAAGGCCTTCTGGTCATCCAGGAGGTCTAACCAACACTGACAGGAAGACTACTCGCTGTAACTTAGGCAACTGAGAATCAAAGTCATTTTGTAAAAATCACTTTGAGAAAGACCTTTGAGTTTCATAAACTCCCAGGGTGACTCACTATTCGTGGAATTCCCCTGGGCAGGAAGGGTAACAGAATCTACTTCTGCTTTCTTTTCTACATACAGGATATTGCTAGCAAAGGCAGAGAATCACTTGTTGAATGTTAGGGGTGGTCATTTGGCGACAGTCTGATCCCTCCTTCTACAGACTGCAGACACTGCAGGCCCCTTTCATGCTTTTCTTTCTTTCTTTCTTGTTGAGACCGAGTCTCACTCTGTTGCCCAGGCTGGAGTGTGGTGTGAGATCTCGGCTCACTGCAACCTCCACCTCCCAAGTTCAAGCGATTCTCCTGCCTCTGCCTCCTGAGTAGCTGGGATTACGGGCGCGAGCCACCACACATGGCTAATTTTAAATTTTTAGTAGAGACGGGATTTCACCATGTTGGTCAGGTCGGTCTTGAATTCCTGACCTCGTGATCCACCCACCTCTGCCTCCTAAAGTGCTGGGATTACAGGCATGAACGACCATGCCCAACCTCTTTTTATGCTTTTCATCACTGTGAAAATCATCCTCTGACTCATTTCTGAACCCAGGCAGGGCTGCCAAAGCAAGGCCCTCAGCAGGTTCTGTCTGGGAAAGTGGGTTGTAAATGAAATGTCATTCATTCCACAAAGGCTTGAATACTTGCTCCAGGAGGTACAATCTGGGAGTAGCTATCCTCGAATTCCCAAACACTGGTTTCAGAACATTTAAAACTTGTCAAGGGGCCGGCACGGTGGCTCACGCCTGTAATCCCTGCACTTTGGGAGGCTGAGGTGGGCAAATCACGAGGTCAGGAGATCGAGAACACCCTGGCCAACATGGTGAAACCCCGTCTCTACTAAAAATACAAAAATTAGCCAGGTGCGGTGGCGGACACCTGTAGTCGCAGCTACTTTGGAGGCTAAGGCAGGAGAATCACTTGAACCTGGGAGGCAGAGGTTGCAGCGAGCTGAGATCGCACCATTGCACTCCAGCTTGGAGGCAGAGCGAGACTCTGTCTCAAAAAAAAAAAAAAAAATTGTCAAGGAATCCAGCTAGTTGTAATCCCAGCACTTTGGAGGCTGAGGTGGGAGGAGCACTTGAGCCCAGGAGTGTGAGACCAGCCTGAGCAAGATGGTGAGACCCTGTCTCTACAAAAAACAAACAAACAAACAAACAAAAAACCGTATCAAGGAATCCAAGGACCTTACTTTTGAAAACTGTAAAAAACGTAAGAATACACAAGCACATATTATTTTAGTCACTAGAGCAATGACATCATCACATATCCTGTAAATGTATAATTATTTCAAAAAAAAAGTTAAAGGAAATGAAGCAAGTGGGGATTACAACAACTTTTAACAGCAACTGAAGTTAGAAGACAGATACCAACCACCAATGTGCTGAAAGAGGAAAACTTCTGAACCTCAAAATCTATAAACAGTGAAATAAACCCTTCAAGAATTTTAAGATGGAGGCTGGGTGTGGTGGCTCACACCTGTAATCCCAGCACTTTGGGAGGCAGAGATGGGCAGATCACGTGAAATCAGGAATTGGAGACCAGCCTGACCAACATGGTGAAACACCGTCTCTAAAAAATAAAAAAATTAAAAAAAAAGAATTTTAAGATGGGCTGTTCCAAAGGTAGTAAGTTATCTCGATTGTTTATAGTCAGTTACAGATCAAACTCCTTATTTTACTCTCACTACTGCACTTGACTACTGTAATAAAAAAAGAATTTTAAGATAAAGACACATTCAGACAAGCAAAACTGAGAAAGTGTGGCAAAAGCAGATCTTTACTAAAGGAAATTAGGAAGAATGTACCTCAGGCAGAAGGAAAGGTGTCAAGGAAGATCAGAGATTTAAGAAGGTACAAGAAGTACCTTCTTTAAGAAGTAAGAAAAAATATCCTGTTAACTCTAAAAACTACAAGTATAAGGAAAAAAGATTATTGGGAAATCCAAATAACCTACCCTAGGAAATTCTAAAAACCACAAGAATATACAAGCTCACATTCCTTTGGTCATAACAGCAGTGTCATCATTAGACACCGGGTCACCTATGGAAAATTCCATTGCGAGTTGAAGAGGCATATGACGTCTAAAACTAGTTCTGCCACCGAATCTCTAGATCTTGGGATCTGCAGGGCCTCCCGGATCACACTTTGAGAACTGCTGCTTTAATCTTCCTCCCATCTCCTAAGGCCAGGGCTCCTGAGTTTGCTTCCCTGACCCGCCAAGGAGAAAAGAGCAAGGTCAATGGTCGGGGGCCGCAGAGGGAATTCCCCTCCTTTTGCAAGGGTTACTAGAGGACACACGGGCTGCTGGTGAGGTTTCCGGGAAGACTCCACGAAGCGCCACTAGAGGGCGCGACTAGCGAATCCCACAGCGCGCCCGGCCGCCCATGCTGTTGTCCTACGGGTTCACACGGGCTCCCGGAAGAAAGGGTGGTGCCTGGGAGAGGAAGCGGTGCGCCGCGGGGCCGCGACCTCATTGGACGAGAGACCTCCGCCTCACGGCCCAAGGCGGGGCTTCTCGCACTTAAGAGCTGGGCCGGACCAGGGTTCGAGTGCGCAGCTTAGTCGTAAGTCGCTGAGGTTTTTCCGTCACTCGCCGAGGTTCGCTGGGTCATGGTGCCAGCCTGACTGAGAAGAGAACGCTCCCGGGAGACGAATGAGGAACCACCTCCTCCTACTGTTCAAGTACAGGGGCCTGGTCCGCAAAGGGAAGAAAAGCAAAAGACGAAAATGGCTAAATTCGTGATCCGCCCAGCCACTGCCGCCGACTGCAGTGACATACTGCGGCTGATCAAGGTAGCGGAGAGCCCGAGCTCCCGTCGGGGAGCGTGGGATGGAGATGGCTCCGTTTTCCGGGGTGGGCAAGGATCCACGTCTTGGGGTCTGGGCCGGTGTGAGAGCCCAGCCTGTTCCCTTTTCTGCGCCTGCCTCCCTTCGCCCCATCTCCGGTGCGGCCGCCACCCTGGGCAGGCTGCCACCCCCGCCCCACCCGCCCCATTCCCTTCCTCTGAGCTGGCCTGGCCTGAGCCTTATTTTGTTTTCGGCTTCTCTCTCTCCTATGTGCATCCCCCCAGGAGCTGGCTAAATATGAATACATGGAAGAACAAGTAATCTTAACTGAAAAAGGTAATTCAACAGCGGCGGGGTGGGGGAATAGCGTTCGGTGCTTGTCACCTTCGCCGAGGCCATTACCGCCCCTGCTGTCCCTTTTTGCAGATCTGCTAGAAGATGGCTTTGGAGAGCACCCCTTTTACCACTGCCTGGTTGCAGAAGTCCCCAAAGAGCACTGGACTCCAGAAGGTAACCCCTCTCCCCTTCCAACAGACAGAGAGACCGAGTGTTTTGTAAGAAGTAGTGTTGGCTGTGTAGCCCTGACTCCGCAGGCCGAAGTTACTGAGAAGTTGGACAGAAAAAAATAGCAAGTGTTCAAAGTACTGAAGAAAAAAAAAATTAGATACGCTGCACTTGAGAATAATAGGGTAGGGTAAAAGAGTTTAAGTATCAGAGTGCTGTGGAGACTCGGAAGAGTTTAAGTTGCTTAAGTAAGTATCAGAGTGCTGTGAAGACCTGGAAGAGTTAGGTATAATGTCATTTGTTGTAATTCAGTTTCATAAAATGGTTCTTGTTTGACCCTAACGTGACCGTTTTTGTAATTGTGTTAAATCACATTTTTTTCTTTAATTTGTCCCAATCTTCAGGTTACAGTCTCTAGCTTCGCCATGTACATGGCCCTTCCGTGTACATGGATGGGCGGGGAGGTAACTAAAAGATCCTTTACACAATAAAGTAGATGATCATGATAAATGAGGTAAGGTCCTATTATCACACAGTTAAAACACGGTAGATCAGAAACCCACTATGATACTCGCTTCCTGTCTGTTTGCAAAGGAATATAAAATGGCTAGAAAGTTTAATTTGAAACCTTCGCCTCCATTTGGAATAGTAGATACCCGTTAAGAGGGTGTCAGTTGCCTTTTTTTTCTTGCTGATCCCTGTTGATTGGTCAGAAGACAGCTCAGCTAAAAGGGGAAGTTGTTTGGGTGGGGTGCTTTTTTTTCTGACGTCTGTTCCTCAGGCTAGAAGAAATCAGCAGAAAAACAGAAGGGATGAGTACTTTTTAGAGTATGTGGGTGTTACGTAATACCTGTTTCTGGGAAATGCTGCTGCTTCTGACTCAACAAATGGGGAGAGCAAATTGAAAATATGTATATTGGAAGGCAAGTTCTGAAATTAAACATTGTACTTTGGCCTGATGTTCTGACCTTTAAGGAAGCAAGACTTTGTAAACTTACAAATATCGACTATTCTGAACTGCCGTGTAAACCTGACTTATTCCCAAGTCAACATACCAGTATACCAATAGGATGTGAATAATGTGTGTGCAAGTTTAAAACCGTAGCAGTTTTGCTCTGGCAAGTAATGAAAGCTTCCTGAGTGTGAGATCCAGCAGTCTGCAGAGTGGCAAGTCCACAGTTGTAGCCTGACTTCAGTGAGTTCTGATGTGTGCTTTTTGCAAATACATGTTCTCAGAACAGTGAGATCATCCAGCAGTGGCCTGGACTGCACTCATGTAAATCATGAGACAGTCGTGGCTCCTTGTTTCTGTAACACATGCATGTATGTTTTTTAAAATCTATGATAGGCCTCTGATTCTGCAGCTACAACTTTTATGGAATGTTTTCCTTCTCCACATCTCATGTGATACTCTTATTACAGGACACAGCATTGTTGGTTTTGCCATGTACTATTTTACCTATGACCCGTGGATTGGCAAGTTACTGTATCTTGAGGACTTCTTCGTGATGAGTGATTATAGAGGTATGATTGAGTTTGGGGCAGAGGGTCTGAAGAGTTCAGGGCTGTAAATCCTTACAATGACATTTTAAATCGTACTTCTCTTTAACTTTTTAGGCTTTGGCATAGGATCAGAAATTCTGAAGAATCTAAGCAGGGTATGTCGTAGTTTTTGGTTTCCAAATTTGTAAGTTTACTGGATTATTTTAATGATGGAATAAAAATTGGGTCTTGAAAGCAGGCTGAATGTCACAGAGTTTGTATTTTACTCTCTCATGATAGGTTGCAATGAAGTGTCGTTGCAGCAGCATGCACTTCTTGGTAGCAGAGTGGAATGAACCATCCATCAACTTCTACAAAAGAAGAGGTGCTTCTGACCTGTCCAGTGAAGAGGGTTGGAGACTGTTCAAGATTGACAAGGAGTACTTGCTAAAATGGCAACAGAGGAGTGAGGAGTGCTGGTGTAGATGATGACAACCTCCATTCTATTTTAGAATAAATTCCCAGCTTATCTTGCTTTCTATGCTGTTAGTAGTGAAATAATAGAATGAGCACCCATTCCAAAGCTTTATTACCAGTGGCGTTGTTGCATGTTTGAAATGAGGTCTGTTTAAAATGGCAATCTCAGAGGCAGTTTGGAGAGTCAGATAGTTCTCGAAACTCTTTTGATAAACAACAAGGTGGTGTGATCTTAATATATATGAAAAACTTCATTCTTGTGAGTCATTTAAATGTGTACAATGTACACACTGGTACTTAGAGTTTCTGTTTTGATTCTTTTTTAATAAACTACTCTTTGATTTAATTGTTTGGTGTAAGCTTTTTTCCTAATTCTTTATTTCGTACATATTTTTCTTGCTGTTGAAGACTAAAATGACCACAAACATCATTGGATAAATAGAATTGCTCAAAATAATGTTGACCCAATTTAAAGTTTTTATGATCATGTGTTATGCTTGTATTAACAAAGTCTGGATAGAAGCCAGTTGACTATCAAGGTTTTATATGTAGCAACATGTGAAACATGACTGTTTTTTTAAATTGAGACAGAGTCTCCCTCTGTTGCCCAGGCTGGAGTGCAGTGGCACGATCTCGGCTCACTGCAACCTCCGCTTCCCAGATTCAAGCAATTCTCGTGCCTCAGCCTCCTGAGTAGCTGGGGCTACAGATGTGTGCCACCATATCCAGAAAATTTATGTATTTTCAGTAGAGAGAGGGCTTTGCCACGTTGGCCAGGCTGGTCTTGAACTCCTGACCTCAAGTAATCCACCCACCTCAGCCTCCCAAAGTGCTGAAATTACAGGCATGAGCCACCGCACCTGGCAAAACATGACTTTTTTACACTGATGACACTGTACACTGCATCTGACAGAACTTCAAGAGCTGAAAAAACCAAGTTAGAAACAGGCCCACAGTGAATAAGCCAATCGTTAAGTAAAATGTGGAGGTGCGATTATGAAACATTGAATATCAAGAAAAAACATCTTGTTACCAAAAACCTCATGCCACACCAAGACTTATTTTAAATAGAGCCAAAGTCTCACTCTTTTGCTCAGGCTGGAGTGCAGTGGTGTTATCACAGCTCACTGTAGCCTTATCTTACTGGTTCATGCAATTTTCCCACCTCAGCCTCCCAAGTAGCTGGGACTGCAGGTGTATGCCACCATGCCCAGCTAATTTTTTTTTTCTTTTTTTTTATTGCATTTTAGGTTTTGGGGTACATGTGCAGAGCATGCAATACAGTTGAATTTTTTTTAATAGACACAGGGTCTCACTAAATTGCCTAGGCTGGCCTCAGATTGTCCTGCCTCGGCCTCCCAAAGTGCTGGGATTACAGGTGTGAGCCGTGGCATCTGACCAAGATAATTTTGACAGTAAAGTGGATCACTGAAATAATTGTCTTCTGTGAACTGAAAAAGTACACATTTTTACAGGAAATTTGCAAACAGAAAAGCTCCAGTTGGACACAGGTACAAATCAGACAAATTAGCATCTTATTTGGAGGGTGAATTTGTAGTACTTTGTTAATACAATGGATTTTTAGAGCAGAGAAACAATAGCCCTTAAAACTGCCAGGAGGGAAAGAAGTAAACAAATGCTTTCTAAGGACTGAAATGAAAAAGAAGAGGTAAGAGGAAAAGACCGTTTTCCCCTTAGATATGTGAACTCTTTTCATCATTCATTACATTGGCCCAAATTCCTAAACCAACTAATTTCCACAATAATGAAAACAGTAGTTGATAGGAACCCCTGTAGACTAAGATCCAAGATAAATGTTTTCTTGGATCTTAGGCAAATACCTGAAAACAATGCTCTGTATCTCTCCGTGTTCGCCAGGAAATACTGAGCGCCTTGGTCGAAGGGAATGTTGTCCAGCCATCCTTTGTATCAGTGTCTGTTGTGGCTTCCTAGATTAGAAGGCCACATTATGTAAAAGTGTAACCCTGTTTTATATTTAATACAGGAGGGCTTTGGGGTTTATCGGTGGCTCAGCGAGCATGCCATGAAAACAGGCTCACAAGTCAATCATCAACCAGGGACCTATTAGGCAGGCAAGTAACTACATAAGAGAAACTGGCAAAAATAAAAGGGTAACTAAACACAAAGAGCCTTGTGGGAAAGTAAGATATTTTGCAAACTGTTTTGGAAAGTGAGCCTCTTGGAGGAAAACAACTACATGCTGACTGTGGTTAAATATATTAATAAATTAAATTAACCAGCAAGTTACAATATAACTCTCTGTTTCTCATCTTTCTTAGAGCTTAGCCTTAAAGGCCCAGTATTGTCAAGATAAAGGCTGTTTTTTTTTTTTTTTTTTTGAGTCTTCCCTGTGTCACCCAGGCTGGAGTGCAGTGGTTTGATCTCAGCTCATTGCAACCTCCGCCTCTGAGGTTCAAGCAATTCTCTGCCTCAGCCTCCTGAGTAGCTGAGATTACAGGCACCCACACCATGCCCGGCTCATTTTTGTATTTTTAGGAGAGACAGGGTTTCACCATCTTGGCCAGGCTGGTCTTGAACTTCTGACCTCGTGATCCACCCACCTTGGCCTCCCAAAGTGCTGAGATTACAGGCATAAGCCACTGCGCCCAGACTTTCTTTTTTTTTTTTTTTTTTGACATGAGTCTCACCCTGTCGCCAGGCTAGAGTGCAGTGGCGCGATCTCGACTCACTGCAACCTCCACTCACTGCAACCTCCACCTCCCGGGTTCAAGCAATTCTCCTGCCTCAGCCTCCTGAGTAGCTAGGACTACAGGTGCCCACCACCATGCCTGGCTAATTTTTTGTATCTTTAGTAGAGACGGGGTTT